GCAACCTGGGCTGGTGGAAGGTGTCCCTGCCCATGGCAGGAGGAGATGGAATGAGATGATCCTTAAGGTCTCTTCCAACCCAAACCATTCTGTGACCATGTGTGGAGAGGCTCACTGGGGACTAAGGGCTCCAGGGAGGGCTCAGGTAGTGCTGCCTGCCAGGATCAGATGTGTCCTTGTCTATCAGGTGTGTCTTGGAGGCTTCATGGGTGAGGTGAGAAAAAGCCTGAGGGTGCTGTTGCTGAAATCCAGGACTTCCCTCAGGTGAGGTGGGATCCCACCCTCCCTCCTGCCCTGGGGGCTCCTTTGGCTGCTGGATCATCTCAGTGAGGGCAGAGCATGTGCCAGACACTGAGCAAAGCATCTGGTGCTGCCACAGCTCTGAGGGGGCCTTTCTGCACATGGGGCAGCAGCAAGTTTGCTGCTCAGCAATAGATGGACACCAGGTGTGGTGGGGGGGTCTGTGCCTGCCCTGGGGCAGCATTCACAGCATGGAGCTGTTCCTGAGGATGTCTTGGACTCCATGATCCTCGTGGGGCCCTTCTAACTCTGCATATTCTGTGATTCTCATGGATGAGAGCTCAGCCCACCGAAGGGGGAGTGAGCCAAGGAAGGGGCTCTGCAGTGCCCAACCCTGCCCCTTTTTGTCCCCCAGCACATGCAGTGGGCACTGGGAGTGCTGGGCTGGCTCTGGGCTGTACCTGCCTGGCAGGTGGATAGAACAGCAGGGAGATCTCACAAGAGGATGAGACTTTGAGAAAACAACCAATTCTTGTTGCTCCAGGAGGTGGTTTGTGAACAGGTGGGAAGGAGAGGGGCACTCTCAGACATGGGCAGAGTCCCCAGTACTGCCAGCACAGGGAGGGCAGCCAGTGCAGCTTTGTGGATGTGTAGTACTATTTCTGATGGTTACCATGGCAGCAGTTGCATTCTGTGATATATGTTCTGCTTTGTGAAGTACAAACACACAGAGGTGCTTGGAAGTGAATTCCCAAAGAAAAGCCTCTGGTGTTCCCTTGTTCCTGCACGTTTAGCCCAGCCCAGCTCTTCCCACAGCCCCTCAGCTTGTCCCTGCTCTCAGTCACGGGGGAAATACCACAGGCTGAGGGGCTGTGGGATGGTGAGTGTGCAGGGAAGGTGTTTCTGGTTGGTTTGTTGCCTTTTTTACAGCACTATTTATCCATTTGTACAGTAAGGTAATGAATTTACCAGTGCCTGTTCCGGCCTGCAGCACAGCCCTGGCCTGGGAAACACCAGGGAGGCCACATCCACTTCAACATCTGGCTAAGAAAATTTGTACTAAAGCAGTTCACCACCCTGGTGTGTCCTGGGAATGTAAATGTGTCTTCAGGGGGTTCATGGAATGAGGAGGATGTGAAATTGGTGCAGTGTGAAGTTCGTGGGGTGGTTTAGGGAGATAGAGGAGAGTGTAGGGCCAGCAAGAAGTCCTGAGCAAAAGGAGGTGGACAGGCTGAATTAACCCCTGTTTCTCCTGAATGAGGTGTAGAGGCAGCCCATGGAATTGGTGGGAGGTGGGTTCCAAAACAAGCAGGAGAACGTGGTTCTTTGCTCTACACGGAGCTCAGCTGTGATTGGTATTACACAGCACTGTCTGTGTTGGGATAATTGACACATCACTCAATTACTGTGATAATAGTGTGTGTTGTCATTAGTCATGTTCTCGAAAGTTTTGTTATCTGACTGCTGGGAATTCATTTGCAAGGTTTCCTTCAATCCTGTGGATCCCTTCCCCAGCACCTCCATCTGCTTTGGGCAGATATATTCATTTGAATCACGAATTCTTAAGTAGCAGCCCTTGTTTTGCTGCACATATTCCTCTTTCTCATCCCTTCTATCACAAAAGGACAGTATATAAATGCACTCAATTATCATTGGACTGGAAATATTCCCTCAGCTGGCTGTTAGCAGGCAGTGATACCGACAAATAATGATCACTGGTGTCATGTCAACACAAGCAAAAGCAATTATTTTTGAGCCATCTAACACCAGAAAAGCAGATGTAGGAAGGAACTACCGATTAGAGATGAGAACACTTAAGGTCAGATATGCAGACTATGATTAAAGTGATATTTAATGCACAGTGTTTCTTTTGGTATTTTGTTGAGCTCTTTCCCTGTGTTACTAAATCTTTGTGTTTGTTGTTTGTAGCACTTTGGTTACAGGTTTCAGTCCACTCCTCCTGGATTATTGGACTTGTGTTTCTAGGGAGAGCTGGTTGGCTGGACCCTGGGGAGAACCTCCTCTCCTGAAATCCTAAATGCATCAGCCCAGCAGTGGTGCAGCAGAGCTCAGATATTATAATTGCATTTTCTTTACTGCTCCTCACATGGTCCCTGTTTATGAGAAAACAACACTTCCCCAGAACATGGTCCCTCTGCTCAGGCATCTCCTCCTCATCTCACAGCCCAAACTCCACTTCACCCATATACTGAGAGCACGTCCCTAAGTCATCTCAGGGGTGGAGACTGAATTGATGCAATCCTAAATAACACATATTTTTCCCAGACGTTTGAATCAGTTTTGGGGCAGCAGAACTGGAAGGAGGAAGGTGTCCACAGCTTCCCCAGACAAAATTCTGTTGACTCACACCCCTTGGTTCATCTCTGCGTGCTGCCCATCCCTGCAGCTGTTTCAAACACTGCCAGTAGCTGGTGACAGCAGCCACTGTTCTCTCCCAGCCTGTGCCTAAAGGACCTCAGCTTTTCCTTTCTCCAGTGTTCCTCCTGTCCTCCAGCCCCAGCTGGGATGTGTCCATATGTAGCTCCCAAGGGGCACCTGAGCCCTCTAAAAGAAAAGCCAGAAGAGGGTTTCTGTGCTGCCAGAGGGAGCTCCCTGGGTGTTCCACAGTCTAGAGAATCCCTGCACTGGGGCCCCCGAGGTGCTGCCAGCCCAGCTGTCTGCTGAGATGGGCACATCCACAACCTGGGGAAAACATGTGGGAACAGTAACAGTGGGCAGCGATGCTGGCACAGCTCCCCAGGGCAGTGCTGGAGTCCCCATCCCTGGCACTGTGCAAAAAGCACGTGGATACTGCACTTGAGCACGTGGATACTGCTCTTGAGGACGTGGGTTAGTGGTGAACATGGTGGGGGTGCTGGGATGGATGTTGAATTTGGGGATTTTTAAAGGTCTTTTCTGACCTCAACTATTCTGTCATTCTCTGTTTTTCACTGGGACTTTAGGCTCAGCTCCACTCTGTGATTCTCTCAACTCAAAACACTGTGAGGCAGTAAATTGGCAGTTTAGGTATGTGTCATATGAAAATATCCTTGCACTTGTTCTTTCAAAGCTTGCAGTCTGCTCTGCCCACCCCTCCACGCTGTGCTTTACCCCCTCCTTCCCCCCTGAGCTCTGCTCTCTCCAAACACCAAGTGCATATCCATTTGGTGTCTCCTTTTGTGGGAGTTAAACCCTTTTGGGGACAGAGGAGTGAGAACTGGACGCTGTTTTCAAGATGAAGGCCCACCATGAATTTATGGAGTGGTGAGATAATGTTTGCAGTTTTATTCTCTGTTCCTTTGCAGGCATTTGGTTGGTTTTGCATCGTTTGATTGGTTTTCCATTGAACTGTTATTTGCAGGAAATAACTGTGAGGGCTCAGAGATCTCTTCCCTGGGTGATAATAGTTAATTCTGAACCCATCAGGGATGTTGTTTTTCTGAGTGTGTTGCTTTACATCTATCACCAGTGGGTTTCTTCTGAAATGTCACTGCCACTCAGTTAGAATGATGGCACCTCTTGCAGTTCTTGACCACCAGGTTTTATTTTCAGGACTTGAAATGACTTTGTCTCATGACTAATTTTGTCAGCTCATTAATCATTTGCTCTTTCAGGTGGTTTTTGAATATGGTGAGAAGTTAAAGCTCCACCAGTAGCTCCTCACCCCTGTTACCTGGGTTTTGAGTGGTTGGTGGCTTATGAGACCTTCCCTCTTACCTGCACCAGTAGTGGGAACTGGAAGAGAGATAGCCCCTATTGATGAAAATCCAAGCTTGGAGACACATTGGCCCCATGCAGGCAACTCCTCCTCTGAGCAGGCAATGCTTGAGACAAATGTGTGACCTGCCTGCTGGAATTCACCTCCCCAGCACCTGCAGAAGGGTTCCCTGGGGACAACCCGCTGTGTTTGTGATGTAACTCAGCCCCACACACCATCAACTCACTGCCCAAGGTGGGGGGGGAGAGAACTGGAGGGGAAAAGTGAGGAAACTGCTGGCTTAAGGTACAGCCAGTTCAAAATGAAAAGCAAAAGTTACACAAGCAAAACAAAGAATTCACTCCCCCCTGCCCATGGGCTCAGCCAGCCCAGGACAGCCCTGGGCTCCCTCCCACCTGCTGGGGACTGGGGAAGGCAAACCCCATCAGTCTGAACATCCCCCTCGTGACTGCACATGGTCTGGGACATCCCTGGGGCAGTTGGGCTCACCTGCCCCTCCTGTGCCCCCCCAGTTCCCTGTGCCCCCCAGCCTGGTCCTGGCAGGGGGGTCCTTATCCATTTCACCATCTCCCCACGATGCTGCTTAATTTTCTGAGAGATGCTTCTCATTAGTTGCATGAAAAAATCAACCCTTTATGTGAAAGGTCTTTATGGAACCACCTGCTTGACTTCTTTGCTGTTGAGGGTCCTCGGTATTATTCTGTTAAAAATGAAAATATGCTTTCATTTGAGCTCGGTGGAGTTGGGGAATGAACAGCTCTGAATTGTGGGCTGGTGTTGTAGGAGAGCCTGAGCACTGAGAGCCCAACCAGCCCAGCTGTGACTTGCTGCACTGCTGGTGGTTTATACTGATTATTTTGAATTTAAAAGTGTACTTGATGTAAGTGGATATTTGGGGAACTGCTCGCAGGCACTCCTGGGATGAGTACCCAATTCCAGAGCAGCCTTGGCTGTTCATGGGTGGGATGGATTTAGTGCTGCTCAGGAAATCAAGGGTGTAAATGGGGGAATGATAAAGTCTTGTTCCTTTTGTCCCTGCCAGAACATCCACCTGGTGGCCAAGTGGCTGAGTTCCCTGGAGAAGAAGCTGGAGCAGCACAGCAAGGGCAGCCACCAGGACTTCCGTGTCTTCATCAGTGCAGAGCCAGCACCTTCCCCTGAGAGCCACATCATTCCCCAGGGCATCCTGGAGAACTCCATCAAGATCACCAACGAGGCCCCCACTGGGATGCAGGCAAACCTGCATGGAGCCCTCGACAACTTCAGCCAGGTAGGAGCTCAGAGGACGAGTGACAATCGGTCTGGAGCTTCTGGAGCTGCTG